CTTTCCCAAGGACACAACGTCAGGCCCCTGACGGGATTCGAACCCACGACCTTACGGTTGCGAGTCCGAGAGCCTAAATTGCCACTTCACCTTGCCTTTCAAGTCTCGGCTAATCCTACTATTTCGTTTTAGTTAATTTTTTTTAACGGTTATAATTGCAAAACGATTCGGCCATACAAGTGCCGGAGATTAGAGGTTACAAAAGAGTATCAAACACAAAAAGGAGAGATCGGGACGATAGACGTTTGACAGGAATGAAGGAGCAAACAACACCAGAGCACCCGCCAACCACCCGCGATCCTGTTGTGAGGAAGAACGATCAAGCTGCGCCGGTTTTTGTTTTGTTTTGTGCGTTTGCAAAGGAGAATTTGTCATGCCAGTGACAATAATTATTATGATATTAATATTATCCGGGTCTGTAATTAATAGACAATGCTAGATAAAACAACAACTTCTGTCGCGACTATTTCGGCGAACCGGGGTTTGGGACCATTCGGCTTTTCACCTTTGCTTTTATTGAAGAAGACGCGAGTACGATTTCCACATGAGGAAGTTGTTGTCTTATCGAGTCTGTCTGTCTGTCTGTCTGTCTGTCTGTCTGTCTGTCTGTCTGTCTGTCTGTCTGTCTGTCTGTCTGTCTGTCTGTCTGTCTGGATAATTTATCCAATTGAATCCAAAATATAGTCTTCCTATGGAAGTAACCAAATTATTTTGATTGTGGAGTAATTCTTTAAAACTTCTGTAAACACCCTTTCATCTATTTTTTTTTCTGGCCATTCTTTCACACCACTTGAGCTATACTTTATGCACCTAGCTAGTGTGTTCAGTTATTAGCCCTGTTGTGTTGAGCTATACCTTATTATGCACCTAGTTTAGTTTTATCCATTAACCCCGTTGAGTTATCAGTCAGCGGTGATACTGTGCACGATGCTCTCTCTCTTGACATAGATACGGAGTACATTGTACTCCGAAGCACGGCTGTTTTTCGGCCTCGATCAGGGTGTCTTTTAACGTAATGACGGTTGCTGGTTTTTGTGTGTGTGTGTGTGTGTGTGTGTGTGTGTGTGTGTGTGTGTGTGTGTTTTTTCTTTAAAAAAAAAAATAATGCTAGGCTGTCAGTTTATTTACTGTGGTAGTTGTAGCATAAATGTATTTGTAAACTGACAAATGAAAAGTGAACAAAGAATCGTGTAAGTGAATAAAGAAATGATTTAGTAAAAATTACGTTTCAAAAGCGGATGAAAGAATGGGTACTTCAATACGCTGGTAAATGTATACGTAAAGAAGAATGCGTATACCCTCCTCTGACTCAGGTTAACCTCCCCTTTCCCCTTTCCCCGTTTTCTTTTCTTTTTTTTTCATTTTATTTCCACCGTCCAGTCAC